ACAACGTGTGATGAACTGACCGCAATCCCCACTCCCCAACCCCTGTGCCACTTTGGGGGAGGAGATGGAGAAAATCGGGAGTGAATTTGAGCCCGGGAAGAAGGGAGGGGTGGGTTGAAGGTGTTTTTAAGATTTGGTTTTAGTTCTCATTACCCTACTCTAATTTGGTTGCCAATAAATTAAACTAACTTCCCCAAGTCAAGTCTGTTTTGCCCATGTCGATAATTCCTGAATAATGTCTCCTTGTCCTAATCTCAACCCACAGGCTCTTAGTTACATTTTCTCCTCTGTCCGGCTGAAAAAGGGAGTGAGAGAGTGGCTTTGGTGGGCACCTGGCATCCAGCCAAGTTCAACCCACGACAGGAGTGTAGAAAGAAATTACAGTTGTAGTATTTGTTGCAAAAGTAAATCCTGTAATACTCTGTCCACTTAGAAGCTTGTATGTTCCCCTGTAAAGACAGTCACTATCCTTAGTCATTATACAATAAATTAGAACACAGATGCATCAATTCAACCTTTTAAAAGGCTCAGTATTCAATACCTGATAAAGTGCATACTGCATTCTCCTTTGAACTGTTTTCCAGACAGTTTTAACCGAGATATATCTCTTTACAAGCCCTTATATTTACTTAAAAACATACTTATAAAAAAAATAAACACAGGGTCAGAACTCCATATGTCATTCATTTTGGCATATGTCATTTGCTGGAATCACAACTGGAAGGAATCCTAATCACTGAGTCCTACTTCACAATGCCAAGAAGGAATGCAAGACATATTAAAACCCAGGGAGATGAATGAGAATATCCAGTTTATGATTTCTGTACCCACCACAAAATACCCACAGTCTCAAAAGCTGCAGAAAACAGAAGAGCAGCAACTACCCCTATTCAATCTCCACTCACCTGAGGAAGCTTTTTATCTTCATCTGACAGACAATCAATTGCATTATTGAACACTTCTTCAACCATCTTCTTTTCTTCATCTAAGGCAGCAATTTTTAAGTTATTACAAAATCGAGAAGGCTAACATCATATGTAAATAAAGTGTTTACCACATTCTAATATTTATGAAGGTTTACAATAAAAATAGCATGGAAGTCTGTGAAGTCTCCACAAAACCACCCACATCGGGTCAGACAATCAAGACTTGAATGTGAGCCTGAAGGAGCCTAACAGTAACCAGAAGATGCTCAGGGAAAAGGAAAACAAAACAAACGTGGCAGCACAATATAAACTTCAGCTATTTCCAAGTTTGGGATTTCTCAGATTTGTGTACTTTCTGTCTATTTCATAAACCTCCCCATTTCTTTCCTATTTACTAGTCCCCATCTTCATGGACATAGAGGCCCTTCCTCTTCCCTGCTAATGCTCAAAGCTTCTACCCTTTCTACTTAAGTAGTACAAATATCGAGGATATATATTCAAAGGTATGACTGAAGAAAACACATAAAAATGCATCTCTGCACTTGTGTGTATTTTTTCATTTTCTGAAAGAAACTGCTGCATTGTTTTGCAACACTGCACTAGAACATGCAAAGATTGGAGGAAGTAAGCAAGCAAGAACCCTGAGCAGTTCACAAACATGAAATATGTTGATTTACAACAAATACCGTATTTTTGTTACAACTCTTAAGATTTCCAAGAAGCAATGAACTTAAACTTATTTTCCAAGCTTGGTCTTAAACCAAAATGAAATTTTGTTTGCCTTTTGGTTTTTTCTTTGAGAAGGGGGAGGAAGGAAAGAAAGAAAACCTTCTTGAATAGTTGGGAAAGAACAGTCTAGTGGTTTGTTACATAGTTGACTTTGAGAGAATACTAATTTTTCTAACGGACATAACATGAAAATTTTGGGAAATACATTTGTTATGATCAGTCTTCTCCCATTATAGATAGAATTTTCTAGGAACTCTTGTGCTATTATTAGAGTGAACAAGATTTTGGAGAAAGAAAGAAGGAAAGTTTAAAACAGAGGAACAATTCAAGACTGTCATGGCCAAGTATTCTTTGTGCAGTTTCCTATGGAAAAGATCCTGATGTACCAGCATAGTAAATGAAAAAGCAATACATATTTTTCATTTGTTTTTACACAAAAAGTCCCAAAGGAAATCCAAGTATGTAACCAGACTAACATTTCACATCTAACTACAATTGTGAACACAACTATATTTTATTTATTTGTACCTGTATTGAAATCTAACTTTGTCATCTGAAGTGCGTAGGCTTCACAGTCTTTCTTACTGAAGCTGAAAATAATCACAGGTTGGAAATTCCTTTCCATGATCATCTTCACAATCTTAAAAACATTTGAAGGACCTGCAGAGAGATTACATTAATTTAAATGTAATTTTAGCAATAAACTATCATATGGAATAATCGAGGCACAAGCACAGCTTGCATACAACTTTGTTGTATTATACAAAAAGTTAGTTGGTAATGGCATTCAAACTTACCTTTTGTTCCTCCTTTCCTGCCTTTCTGGTCCCCTTTTGCTAAGTCTCCTGCATCTCTAAGCACTTGCATTGCTGTATTAAAATTATCTTCTCTGAAATCTCCCTAGATACAAAACACAACCTTTGTAAGCCATTACTTCTTACATAGCCCACTTAAAAATACTTAGTGCTTTGCATAGCCAGTACCATTACCTCATATTTACAGGCTGAAGGAAAAAAAAAACAATGCATAAGCTAGCAAGTGAGTTTACTAGGTCAGCAGCACAGCTCAGAATTATTTTGGTGTCTCTGAAGTTATTGCTCATTGTTCTATCCACCACACTATCAGCCATGCTAGACCTGCTGAATCACACAATACCAAAACTGACTTTTAGGAATGTCTACATGAAACCACACTGCCCAATGAAGACCCAGCTTCAAGTGCAGAACTACTGTTTCTGGCTCTAGCTATTGCTGTGCAAGCCAAAGATTAATTTTAAATAAGTCGTTACTTCAAAATCACCTGAAAACACACAAATATTTTGCCCCCTCAACCAAACTAAAATTTAAATGCTAATACTTTTTCTTTTGAGTGAGAAACAGTACAAGAAACATCAGCTATTTTGCAGATTTACAGAAAGCAGCATGCACTTTAGAAACAATGCAAGGATGAGGGCACTTAAGACATCTCAGCAAAGTATTACTCAGCTGACTACATGACATCAGATAATAAAACCAATCTCTTCTACAAGAATCCAAAGTCTAACATCAATTCAGAGATCATTGTTACCCATTTGTACTTCATTTTAACACAAATATCCTTTGTATAGCCAACCCAAATTTTGCAAGAGATCAAGCTTGTGACTGATATGCAAGGAAAAAGATCTTTCAAACAAACTGAATATTCCTTACATTTTCATCAACAACCAGATGGAGTCCATCTCCTCCTGCTGGGAATATATAATGCTGCAGTGGAGTCGGTCGATAGTCGGTGTAAATCACATGACAAGGCTATAAAGAAAGAACAGCATACACATAAATATTTAATGGTTCTAATTGCATTGTAAGAATACTTGCTTGATGGAAAATCCAATACATTACTAGTAAAATGCATCTTTCTAAAAGCCAGAAAGTACGATTCACAGAAACTAAGATAAGACATTTTCTTTCCTGAATATGGATTTTGTACTAATGACACTGCTTAAGAAAATGAAAGTTTGCAAATCCTTTAGAAGAACACAAGTTGGCTACAAAAATTCTTTCTCATGAACACAAAAAGTAAGGACAGGTAGTACTTCCTTCTGTATTATTACATAGACCCAAAATCCTAACACCTTTGAAAACCAAAGGAAAAAGTGTTAATTTCTATTTTGTAAAAAAGCCTACAGTATTTCTTACACCACCTAAAAAAGCACACGGTAGACTTTAAAAAATATTTAAAGTTTTAATGCATCGAGAAAGCTTGGTTAGAAAAATAAAAAACAAAACAAAACATTAAATATTTAAGTCAATCTGCTGTAAAAAAAAAAATCAGTGTTCTGCAAAACAAAGTCAAGGTTTTGTGCCAAGCCTAATCTCTTATACTACACTCCTTTCATCACAAACAACATAGGAATCAATCTCTGGGGTATTTTTAAAATCGGATCAACCTCTTGTGGATACAAACTTCCCTAATTCTTATTCCCGTATTCTTTGCTGCAAAAGCATCTCTTAAAAAAACAGAATAAAATAAACCTAATGGTAATGGGACAGGATAGATTTCTTACATTTCTTTTTTCTCTTTGTTCACATGCATATATAGTATTTTCTACGGATTTATGATCTACTTTTGTTTTTAGAGAGCTCTTCAAACAACTTCTCCAAATAACCTCTTGTCTATCAGCCCTCTGAAAATCATAGTATATTCACTGTATTTCATAAATCAGAATGTTTGTTGAAATCAGGCTGGTGTCTAAGTAACTTTAAAGAAACAGCTTTAATGTTACCATGTAGAACCAGCTGCCAGTATAGCTGCAAAAGCTAGGAGTACAACCAGAGAAGCCAGGAGTGATCTATACCATCATTTATAAGCAATAAGAAGATGACTAAAAAGACACTCAAAGGTGCAGTCCTCATCAACCAAAGAGACAGTACTATGCCACAACACAACAAGATGGAGGTATAGCACATCAGAGACATTACCTGTTTGTGAAGATGGCAGATCCATTCAGCAAACTGACGCGCATTTGGAATAGTGGCAGAAAGGAACACATAATGAACATTGTCAGGGAGTAAAATAATTGTCTCTTCCCAAACCACACCACGTTCTGAAAATGCAAGAGTCACATAGGAATTTTATGTGATTAAAGACTATTTTTCAGCTCTGAAGCCAAAGAACAGCATGCTTAAAGACAAAATAAAACAAAAACTTTAAAAAGCCTCCCCTACACAAACGGAGTATATCAAATGCCCTCAAAGTGGCTTTTGCCTTGGCAAAGAAAATGCAGACTGTAACAAACAACAACCATCTTATGTACATTCAGCAGAAAACAAAATCTGAATGATTTATGCACAAAGATGACTGACTTTAAGAGACAGAATAAAGATTTAATTCTTCAAAAGAAAAAAAATTGTTCGGGGGGGGTAAAAAGATTTATTGAAAAGAAAAGTTTTACATATAGGATACCTGAATCTCTCATGTAGTGTATTTCATCAAAAATAACCCATGCAACTTCTCGCATAACCTCAGAACCTCTGTAGAGCATACTTCTCAAAATCTAGAAAAGGAAAAAAAAAATTGAGATCCATCACATGAAATAACAACAGTCACACGTTACAGAGATGTCAGTAAGAAACTGCCAGAATTTTTGGTTCACATTTACATGGCAGCATGAAATCTTATTCTGCACAAAACTTAAAAGTATTCAAAGATTGGCTGCGAGATGCTTTCCAAGTTGATTCCAATCTAACAAACTTCATTATATGAGACACACTGGTTTCTCTGCAAGAACAGTGCAGCAACTGTTATTTTTAACATAGAAATGTTATTTTTCTTCCAGCCTCTATGTGGCAGCATATTTGTTACAGGTTTGTAGATCTACTTCTGCCAAGTCACCTTCTTCCCTCATCCTAACAGATAACTTCTCTGTGATTAAGAGGAAATCTTTTGTCAGAAATCAAGTCATCCTGTCTCTCTACCCCAATCTTGCCCTACCAGTGTTTTCTCCATAAGACTCTTTACTCCTTTGAGATAATGACATAAAAAGGAAAATTCCAACTCATGGCTGGACAGATTTGTGCAACAGAAATATGACAAAAGTGTGCAAACGGTACTTTGTTATCAAAGGTGAAAAGCTGTATATTCCTGGAGCACTAGCATCTAGCATGAACCACTCCTCCATTTTGCTTCCCTAGAACTAAATACTGAGCCTACAGGATCAGTAAGTCTCACTTTCAGTACTTCACATCTATCCAAAGAAAACTCAGTGTCTTGACTGTTCAGGAAATTGAGTTTTGCCTTTCTCCATGTGAGAATGGAAGCTCCTGACTGATAGTCCAAAAGCATGAATTTACAGAGATTTACTTAACTTTTTCAATTATCAAAAGTTAAAACATTAAAGAGAGGCATAATGAACTTTATAACATTTTCGACCCTAGTTGGGCTTATTATGATAACTTCCATGTTTTAATAGCAGACTTTCTCATTCAAAAAAGGGTAGAAGAAACCACAGACAGATCAAGAATTAATGTCTGATCTTACCTCGGTTGTCATTACCAGACAAGAAGCTGTAGGATTAATGGTGACATCACCAGTCATCAAACCAACATCCTGGAATTCTTCATACATCTCACGGTACTTCTGATTACTCAAAGCTTTAATTGGACTTGTAAATATTACACGCTGTTTCTCCCTCAAAGCCAGGGCAATTGCATACCTGTATTCAAACGTACATATTAAAGTTGTCGGGAAGACATTCAGAGCATATTACTTTCCTCTAATCTTCTGCTTAAAAAAATAGATGAAAACATATATGAAGCATTTCATCTAGATTATGAAGTTCAGTGCAATCTTAACTCAACTATGTTTGCCTCTTTGGAGAGTGACAAATCACTGACAACAACTTCACTGATTTTTATGGTTATCAAAGCACACCTAGGTTAATTTAAAAATCTAACTGTCACTGTCTTGTGACAAACTATTATTACTTGAACCCATGCTCTAATATATCTACATGTACATCTCACTTCTCTCCTCAGGTCAGCAAAGCCACTCCACTGTCAGATCAAACCCTGACAAAAACATACACTATCTTTTAAACATTTCTTGCCTGATAAACAAGTTGCAAATTAAATCAAACCAGTGCTTCTGACAAAGCAAAAAAACCCACACAAAAACCTTATTAGTTATAGCTAGGGGCTAGAAAACAAAGGTATGTTTTTCAAAATTCATGCAAATCTGTATTGCAGAAACCTTCCTTTCAATCTGTACAATAACATCTCAACAAAACCAGACTGTTTAAGAATAAAAGGTAAGCTTAAACACAAATTAAACCTTTTACTACTCATCAAACGTAATGAAAGAAGTAATTTTTATATTCAAGAGTAGTCAATTAAATTCTAACACTGATAGTCCAAACTTTGTATCAAGAAACTGAGATCCAACAGCTACTGGTGGTTCAACAAAATGACACAACAAACAACACATCATTTTCTTATTAGAGTCTATCAGAAAAAAAACTTACTCTGCACAAACAGTTTTACCAGCTGATGTATGAGCTGACACTAACACAGACTGGTTATTATCTACACAAAGAATAGCTTCTCTCTGAAAGGCGTCAAGAATAAATGGATATTCCTAAAAAGAAAGCAAGCAAAAACATTACATATTTTTAACACAGACTGTTATTTACATTTGATTAATTTTGTGACTGATCTAGTGTGCAAATTACAGGTAGAAATGAAATCCTGTATATATTTGTAACTCCAATTTATCTTAATCCAGTATTTTTCAATGACTTTGTATTTAAATTATTTAAATAATTTAACCTAATACCACACCTAAGATATTTGCTTATGTCTTGTTGTCGTATCAAATGAAAATCTTACCCTGATGACTGAGTTTTCTCTAATATACTAATTTATGAAGAAAAACTACAGTGTACAACCGAAGCTACAGCCTGATGTTGTAGAACAGGATTGAAATCACAATAGCCTATCCACCCCATTCAACCACATCATTTTACTCTACCAAATGTAAATATAAAACCACCTATCTTATGACAAAAATAAAAATAAATGCAATCTATCACATACTTTTGCAGCTTTTCCAGTTCTTGGCTTCAGACCTGTGAAGTCTTCATCTGCTGGAAGTGCAACCTATAAAAGACATTTTAAATAAAACAGTTGCGGAATTCTTGGTGTCCAGTCCAGTGACATGGCAATTTTTATTTATATATAAATGACATGAAGAGCTGGAGCAGGACTTCTAAAGCACATGAAAACAAATCTGAATTTCTATCACCCTGCGTCTACGAGGCTCATGTGTCAAGGCTTCCTTCCCTCCTCTCAGAGTTTTTCAAGCAGTATCTCTATCTTCCTGCAACTATGCTCCTTCTCTCACTTCTCTGATACTCCCTACCATCTTGTGCGAAATATTTCTGCTTCACCTACCTTGGAACATTAGCTATTCAGACCAAGACACAGTCATGGTTTCTGGCCGATGGACGTTAGAAGCAATTACTCAGTTCACATTGATAACACTCCCTTTCCCAGGAGAATTTATTTATACAGGTAAAGTTCCTGTTCCTGGCCAATATCTAACATTCATTCATACTAAATATTTAAGCTCTATTCAGTTACTAAGTGATGGCAAACCTCCACCAGACTTCTCAAGATAACAAAGAAGATATAGATACATGGGCTTTAAAACCTGTACCATCAATTATATATACAGTTTCTTCATTACAAAAGTCTAATCACACAACGTCCTTGAACGTGACCCTAATTAACTTGAGCTGGAAGTTAATTAACTGGAAGACAGCAGAGAAAATAAAATGAGCATAAAAGGAAGTTAAAATTTACATAATTTAATTCTCACAGAAAATCCTTCTGACAATCATGTTTGTATGAAGGATAATTTAAAAAAAGCTAACATTAATAGTTCTGGTTTTTTGTATCTTAAACTGTATTTATGTCTATTAACACAATTTGAAAATTGATAGTTTTCATTATTTTGCTTTTACACAAAAAAAATTTTTTTTCCTTTTTACCAAAATGTCATTTTCAATGGTAATCAGCCTTACAAGACAGCCTTTCATCCTTGAACCAGAATAGCAAAATATTTCAGTGCACTGCTACACACTTAGATCATACTATTAACAGAGACCTATTTTACCAACCAGTAGGTTTTCCTCCTCAACAGTACTCAGAATGCACTTGGTACCTTTCAAATACAGAACCCTATAAACATTATCATAGAGTCTTTCGCAATCACTCATTTTATTGCATTCACACTGCTTCTGGTAAGGTATCCCATTGATTTGCCAAGTGTATGCTCAGTGACAGATACAGACCTCAAACTCTTTACAAACATGTTCTACCTTAAACATGAAATAATGTATCTGCTTGAGGGTAGGAAGGCTCTGCAGAGGGATCTAGAGAGGCTGGATGGATGGGCTGATGCCAATGACATACAACAAGGCCAAGTAGCCAATACTGTACTTGGGTCACAACAACCCCAAGCAATGCTATAGGCCTGGGGAGGAGTGGCTGGAGAGCTGCCCAGCAGAAAAGGACCTGGGGGTGCTGGTTGACAATCAGCTGAACATGAGCCAGCAGTGTGCCCAGGTGGCCAAGAAGGCCAACAGCATCCGGGCCTGTATCAGAACTAGTGTGGCCAGCAGGAGTAGGGAAGTGATTGTGCCCCCGTACTTGGCACTGGTGATGCTGCACCTCAAATCCTGTATTCAGTTTTGGGCCCCTCACTACAAGAAGGACACTGAGTTGCTGGAGCATGTCCAGAGAAGGGCAATGAGGCTGGTGAGAGGTCTGGAGAACAAGTCTTACGAGCAGTGGCTGAGCGAACTGGGGTTGTTTAGTCTGGAGAAGAGGAGGCTAAGGGGAGACCTCATCGCTCTCTATAGTTACCTGAAAGGAGGTTGTATCGAGGTGGGTGGTCCCTTTTCCCAAGTAACAAGTGATAGGCAAGAGGAAACGGCCTCAAGTTGCACCAAAGGAGGTTCAGACTGAGTATCAAGAGAAATTTGTTGACTGAAAGGGTTATCAAGCATTTGAACAGGCTGCCCACCCAGGAAGGTGGTTGAGTCACCATCCCTGGAGGTATTTAAAAGATGTGTAAATGTGGTGGACTTGGCAGCATTAAATTAAAGTTTGGACTCTATGATCTTAAAGGTCTTTTCCAACCTAAATTGTTCTATGATATAATAAGTACAAGCACAATAACCAATATTATTATACTGGCAGTAATACATATAATTCTATGAAACAAGCCTATACTTTTCATGTGCATTTTTACTGCACTCACCTCATGTGTACAACCTTCAACAGTTTCCACAGCTTGCACCTTTACTTGAGGCATCAGGTCTGCCAGACTAAAAACATACGAGTTAGCCAAAAAGTTATTTAAAAACCCTGTTTGCTTTATAAACGCAAAAAAGTTGAGCTTCTCCTCTACTTTAACTGCAACATTAAAAAAAGGATACATGAAACAGACAGCTGGCAGAGACTACTACCGGGACTGAGAATATCTATAAGTGTTAAAATTTTGCTACTATATATATATCTACTTTAACTACTGCTTTGTAGTAATATCTTAACTTGCACCACAAACTGCACTTGGATCACGTTTACATAAAGCTTTCTGATTAAACAAGGACTTTTTTCCAATATACAACAAAGCAAAATTGAAAATCTGTATTCCTGCTACTAGTCTTGACACCAAATAACAGCAGCCTGAAGCATCCCAAGCAGCTGCCGGAGGACGAGACCCCTTCTCTCATGGCCACTAGAAGGAGCTAGTGTCTCACTGCATAGAGCAGCTAGTAAGCTACTGTGGGCAAGTATACCTCCTACTGAGACCACCAACACAGGCACTGACTTAAAATGTTGACTCTCGTTCTGTTTTGGATCTATACAGGCACCCTTTGGTTACAGTGTTCTGAGAAGTCTTCTCATGACTTTCTCACAGAAAATCTTACCTTGAACTTAAGAAAAATTACCATGTAAGACCAAATGACAATCCAGATCAGAATTCTGACAGAAATCAGTAATACATCACTCAGAGAAAAGTGTAAGAACACAGCAAGCACATCATTTTTATTTCTGTAGTAGAGTTTTCTACACTTTGACCTAGGAGGCACACACCTGCATTTGGCCTCTGTGGGTGAACTTTTATTCCATGAACCCTCCTAATCATTTTCTGAAGGAACATAAACGTCCAAGTTCCCATGAATCTCTTAAGACATACTAAGCTGAAAGGTGCCTGCTCTGTCCCTTCAGTCTGTTTTCAAAACCCCTCATAATACCTGTCATGAAGTTCTGGAAAGAAAAGAGGAAGACATGCAGATCCTAAACCACGGAAATGTCATTCCGGCTTCCCTTCAGCTGCCTTATCTCCCCAGCTGTTGGCATGTCCAAATATATGCTCCTCTCCATGTCAAATACCTGCTATTTGAGCTCAAATTTAAAAGCATGTCTGTACTTGATTCCAAATGTTTGCTGCAGTTACAATCTTACATACCTGAAAAGCTTTGTTTCTGTCTCCTTGGTCAAATTCTTCTTCCTGTATCCCATGCAAATTATGCCTTTCAGTGGCACAGTACACAAGAAGCCTGCCTCCTCCCATGTGCCTCACTGCTTACCTCTTCCTATATGCCTGAAATCACCATGATGGCTCTGACCAAGAACCACTGATCCATATGCAGTAACCACAAACACATCAACATTTCATACTGTGGTTGCCTATCTGTCCGCAATATTATTTTAAATATAACCAGTGCTCATCACTGCTGAAGCTGTACTACCAGGATGTTCTCACTTATACAGGTAATGGAAAATCAACTTCATATGCAAATTCATCTTTTTATGAAAATACTGCAAAACTACTTACATGGACTATTCACAACTGGCAATAGCTATCCAGTATATCTTGCTATGATTTAGCATTAAGCTGGGCACTTACTTAGCATCTTCTGACACAACATCTTCCAATTTTGGCTTCTTTCCCACAACAGCATCTTCAGTACTATCAAGCTCTGCTTCCCGCTTGGTCTTCCCTGTCGCATCTACTGAAGATTTTTCATCCGATCGTTTTCTGCAACGTAAAGAGACAACAAATTTAAAGTTTGCCTGTTTCATGTATGTATTTTCAGAAAAGAAATCAGGTGTCCTAGAAGCAACTGTGACCACGTTGCATTCAGGGCACAACCCGGGGAACTCCACCCACGAAAACAGCCGTGAGTTTTCAAATCACTTCCCGGATGAGCTTGCCGTCAGGTACCCGCACTCCCCAGCCGCCCACTTCGGCCGGACTGCATACAGCTTTGGGGCCAGGGATCCCAGAAAAGCGTGCCCCTTTGGGCTACACGGACTCCCCGGTCCCGAGGGGGTTCA